TTTGATAAAACATCAAAAAATAGTCCATGAAGGTCGCAAGGATTATGCATGCGACAAGTGCGAGAAGAAATTCGGGGATCCAAGCACTTTGATCAGACACAAAAAAACAGTCCATGAAGGTCGCAAGGATTATGCATGCGACAAGTGCGAGGGGAAATTTAGACGAAAAGGGATTTTGCTTTTACACCAAAAGACTGTACACGAAGGTCGCAAAGATTACGCATGTGACAAGTGCGATCAGAAATTTACGCAAAAAAAGAATTTGCTCGCCCACCTAAGAACAATACACGATGGCCACAAAGACTACGCATGTGACAATTGCGAGAAAAAATTTGGACAAAAATCAGATTTGATCAGACATAAAAGAACAGTCCATGAAGGTCGCAAAGATTATGTTTGCGACATTTGTGAGAAAAAATTTGGGGATCGAAGTAGTTTTAAAAGACACCAAAGAACAATTCATGAAGTTGCCAAGATTTCGCATGCGACAAGTGCAAAAAGTTGCTAAAAGAAATGATGATTGACAATTGTAAATATGTATAGATACTTTTACATACACTTTTTTTTTTAAATTTCAATAAATGCTGAAATCATTGTGTATTGCTACGTGAGACTCTGGTGTTCAACTATCATTACACTTTCGTAGTTGGTGCTTATTTTTGACTATTTGGTTACCTGTAGCTTTTTGAGCAACCATCATCTCGGACATGCACCAGTGAAATATTTCGATAAATTGTCCGAAAGACTGATTGTTTCCGATGAGAGAGACGCGATCGATGATAATAACAATGAGTTTTCATCGAAAAAAAGTACGTGGAAACTGTCCAAATAGTAATTTATAATATTTCAGAAATAACTTTAACCAAAGAAGGTTTTTTGAATTTCTTAAAAATTATTAAAAGCTCTCATAATTATTTTCGAATTGCGTGAACGGCAAATGAAAGTTTGCCTAGGGGCGGCATTTTTTCTAATTCGCTACTGCACACAGGAGGGGGGGGGCCGATTAGGACAAACATTACAGTCGAATTTCGAATACACTTTAAATAGTCGTGACTACTTCGTAGTAAAGCTTACAGGGTATGCTAAATCTCACGGTTTTATACACCAGGAGCGTCTGTAACAGCATGCAGACGAGTCCTCGAGTATCATAGCACTGTACCAAAGTTACGTTTCTGTTGCAAGCTCAAGCTACGTCTATAATATAATACGTTCGTGCGCTCGACTTCATCGTGAATCGGCAACAATCCGCGCCAATTATCGTGCGCTAAACTTCTACGATCGTTATTTTGCCGACGCGAGAGAGAGCCGTACACATATAACGCTTATTACAGAAATTTATAACAACTTGTATCGTACGCGATACGCGTGATTATTTTTCCGGCGATTTATAAATATTACAAGCCGCATGTAGTTATATTTATCTCTTCGCTCCGTACAGACTGCCGCGAGAAATGAGCCGGCGATCTGCGAATATCACGCAGTCAATCGAGGCCAATATATAACAATGAATCCGGGCGCGCACCGGCGGATGTGTTTCGCAGAGAGCCCCGAGAGCATCTCTCGCTCTCTCTCTCTCTCGTATCTCGTTCTCTTGCACAGCAGTGGCCAGAGCATTACTACTACTACTACTACGGCTGCGTACAACAGCACCCCGCACAACAAGCCCAACGATTTGTCAGAGTATGAATGGCTATGCTAATTTGCCTTACGCAGGGCAGAGCGAGTGTCGTCCGCGCAGCAGCAGTAGCGGCAGCAGCGATGCGTATCGTATACAACGAGCTTCGCCGCTCAGATATGATACTGCAGGGTACCGGGTGTCTACTTGACAATGTATAATACGCAAAGATTATTTCCAACTCGTTAGTACATTATATGCATTTTTCAGTGCGAAAAATAATTTTTTACACAGTTTTCGCTCAAAAGCTCGAAAGCTCGACCGATCGAGTGGTCGTGACAGCTGTGCCGCTGGCTATTCTACAAAAAAAAAAAAAAAATTCGCTCAGTATGTAGAAAAATTATCGGAATATTGTTTTCTCGTGAGAACGCAGCGAATGAAAGCTCGCGGGTAAAAATATTCAATTCGAACAAAATAGAAAAATAGATGGACGGTCACTGGCAACGAGCGCATGAAAATACGGAAGAAATTGAACGAAAATTAAGGAATTTACGTATCGCGAGGAGACTTATCGGATTACCAACACTCAGCAAAAAAGACCACAAAATCGATATAATTTCGACGAAATTTCGTTGAAAATTAGTTCAGATGTCGCCGCTACGTGGCGTCTCGTTTGCACGCAGTATCAGAGGGAAGCTGCACATTTGATAATCGTTGTTATTAATATATCACCACAATATAGATCTTTCTTCATTTAACGTCTGCGTATTATAGAATTTTTTATATTAAATTTCAATAACTGACAACAGACAACTTTGAGAGTGTTAATTTTGTAAAATCTTCAATAAATGATTTGTTTGACAGCTCCTGATGAGGACTTGCGGAAAGTAAGTCGAAACGTTGAGCAATCTCAAAAAATAAAAAAGTTGTCTGTTGTCAGTCATTGAAATTTAATATATTATTGATATCATGACATTATTGACAAATTCTGATATTTTAGCGGTTTTCCTCACTGATTCAAAATTAATCTACAATCCGTGAGACGAGCTAAAGCTGAAATAAAAATATACGTAATGACACCGGCGCTAAAATGTGCCTTTGATATTACAAACATGCGTCTAGCATAAAGCGCACCGCACAGACTCGAATGCGATAACGAGATACAAAAAAAAAGTGAAAAAAGAATCTTAATGATTCGGAAATGTCTAATTTATTGAATTTTATAATCGTGCAAAGTTACGCTACTTTTTCGCTCGATCGTATAATCGTTCTAGCATCGCCGCGGGTATATATCGGGCATTAATGTAAAAAAAAAGAACCGGGCAGGCAAAAACAAAATACAATTTTATAATGTAATTTACGAACCACCCGTGTAGAGCGAGGACTCTCGCTCATACGCATGCGCCGAAGCGAAAGTATCGCAGCGGCATTAATGTTTTGTCAATTTTTTTTTCTCTCTCGCTCGCTCGCTCTCGTTCGCTTTTTCGCTCGCTACACGCGGAAAATAGACCGTCGAGCGAAGGTAATATACATTTTATACGTAAATATATGAGCGCATAAAAGCTACGGCGAGGAGAGAGAGAGAGAGGGAGCGAAAAAAAAGTGCGCACTCTCGCTGCGATGAGCTCATAAAAATAATAAAAATCAGTGTTTGCGTAGGACGCGGCGGCGCGAGGTCCACGCGCGAATACGCTGCACTGGACGTGTGCGTATACGGTAACTCGATACCCTTCCTCTCCGGACGACGAGAGCCGGTGCACGCAATTTTCTCCCCTCCCCCCGCTTAACGGCTGCTCGACCGAGCGAAAATAATATCGAATTTCTGCTGCTGCAGATCCCACGCAGTTCAGTGCATTGCAGCAGTTTTTCTCTCGACGAGATACCGTCAATTTTCGTTAACTTAAAAATCGTAACGCAGCTATCGCCGGTGGCTCGTAGTGGCAGTAGTACACTCGATAGACCCATTCGGAGCACCGTATGGTCGTGCAGTTTAATCACTCGGTCTCGAGTAATACGCGCGTTTACATGCATGTCGAAGTACGCATAGATAGTAACGGTTTAAAAATGCAATGTCTCGTCGCGACGTCACCGCGCGCAATAACGAGCCGCAAGAAGTGAAAAATTATACGACTTGCAGCAGCAGCAGCGGAGACACTACGTGCACGCGGCGGAGTGATGCTGGATACACGTGTAAACAATGGATATAGCGCGCACGATTATTATTATTTTTTTCCTCTCGTCTTTCCTACCATACTCGTACACGCGTGCACGCACACAACAGCAACTCAATGAAATTGCTACCAAGACGGAATGCGCTCGTGTGATACATTAAAAGCGAAGATTAAAGGCGGTGCACTTTGAAGAAACGTATTCGCGTCCGTGCGCCATATTATATACGACGACGAGGAGTCCGTTTCTTTAAAAAAGAGGTAACTTAGACGCGGCGCGTCTACCTATACGTATAAGCACGCACGAGATACCGTTTATGTATCGATATGATACTATTTAATGCGGCAGCGGCGTCGGCGCGATGAACCAATATACATACGTACGCGACTTATTAAGAGGGCCTCACGATTTAAAAGAGTTTAATATGCCGTAATAGCATTGATAGGCGCGGACGATATCGGAGAAAACGAAACGTACGGAGAAAAATCATCCTGGTGATTCAGGATTAATATACGGCTCTCTGGGAAGTATGATAAAAAAAAAGAAAGAAACGAGAGAGCTGCGTCCAGGCAGCCGGTAATAACGAGCAGAAATGAATGCAGATAAGGCTCACGCGTGTGATACAGTCGCTGACCAAGTGTATATATTCTGTGCAGCGCGTGCGCTGCGCAGTGAAAAACAAGATTCGCGCGTATCATATACGTGTACGTGCGCACGGTCTAATGTCATTATTCGCGGTGGCGACCCGAAGAATAAAAAAGGCGAATTCTTTGTCGCGGCGCAGTGTACGCCGTGCGCGTATACGAGGCGTTGTCGCGCCTATCAAGTAGATTCCCAGCTTCGATAAAGACATGTATAATGTATACGAACGATCCCCAGGTGCAGCTCGACTCTCTATCTCTCTGTATCTATTTTTCTTTTCCAACGTTGCGGCGAGAAGAAAATTTACGCACCGTGTATGCTATCTGGCCTTGGCGAGTTATTGTTATGTACCTTTACTTGCAAAATCAAATCTACGCTACTTTTTTACGATTTGAGCTTCGTTGGTCGATGATCGTTTTGCGGTTTTCAAAGATGACGACAATCGTGTGATGAACGGAACAAATCATTAAGCCTTTGCATGAGAACAGGAACAAATTGTGAAACTTCTTTGTAATTATGTTTTTTTTTTTTTTTTGTAAATGACATTGAAATAAAATGTTAAGACACGAAACAATTCAAATGCAAGCTAATTGATACACTCAATTTTTTATTTATTTCGATTTTAATACTCATTGTTGAATAAAAAGACTTCGGAGAGCCGCTGGGACATTACCAATAAAACAAAGTTTTTACATACGATCATGTATGTATTACACATAAAATTTTTTATATTTACAATTTTTTCGAAGTTAGCGGCTATTTTGTACCGTTGGAAATTCTTTCGTTATTCGAAGCAATGGTCGCGAAAAATGTATTAGCCATAACCGAGCTTTGGCTACAGATCATCATCGTTTTGACTCCTGTTATGATATAAATTTCACAACGAAATTTAATAAATCAACTCCCTCCCAATTTATCATATTTTAATCTTTTTGGAGCTTGTCTACCCTCGAGCCTCGCGGGTCTCGGGTTGTAGCGTACAACGTCTGTCGTCCAATTTTCCGAATGGTCCTCAAGACCACTAGCCGCCACGCAAATATGATACAAATCTTTGTTCATGAGAATTTCATTCCTGACGGTCATATCGCACCAGAGAAACGGGAGCCTATGGCGTACCAATTTCCATAAAGGATGCACCGCCTCGCGCTGGAAAAATCGTCTCGAGAATACTTCGCACACGTGCTCGACAAAAGCTTGTCTGGCTTCTCTGGAGATACGCCGATTTGTTTGGAACGGTACGAACGCGTTGTAATTCAGATTTGTTTGATTGTACAGGTACATCGCCGCCTCTTGGTGCGGCAACTGAAGAAAGTCGTAGAGCGACATATTCTCGTCTAACTCAGAAGTTTTTGCTACGGATATGGCATACTCGTCGTATTCGAAATTCCTTGACCTCTGCCACAATTCAAACCTGTTGTAAAACTCCATGATCGCCAGGGCGTCGTTTGGGCTGAGCTCGTAGCGACACTGCCGAAGACAGTCGACGACCGCCAGAGCGTCGGTTAACATTTTCAAGTTGTACCAGAGATAATACTCGTCGTTGTTCAAACTCTGGCAAAAAGCCTCGATCGGAAAAACGAAGCTCGCCAGATCGACGTTGCGATTCAAGAGCGCGTCTACCGCGTCCGGAAACAGACTGGCCACGGCCAATTCCAGCGGCGTCCGACCCGACCTGTCGCGACGGTTGACGCGCAGCCAATTCTTTCGTTCCCTGCTGGCACCGAACAAAGACGACAAAATCTCCACCAGATCGTGTTTCGTTGCTCTCTGGCAGACGTGGTGCAGAGGAGTCAATCCATCGGCGTCGGCCGCGTTCAGACTGGGTCGGCCCGCCTTCAGCAGCGTCTCGACCACGTTCTTCTTCGCGTGTCTCGCAGCCAGGTGCAGCGGTGCGCGGCCCTGCCCGTCCCGGGCGTCGATCCGCACCGGCCTGTGCTCGGCTCGGCTGTGCCTGAATATCAGCATCAAGTAGACGCCGTATCCGATCTTGGCGAAGACGTGCAGAGGCGTCGATCCCTCGGCGTCGGGCTGATTCGGATTCGCGCCCCGTTTCAGCAGCAGCTTGACCACGCCCTGGTTGCTCTTGTACTTGGCGGCCAAGTGCAGCGGCGTGTCCCAGCCCCAGGGCACGTTGGGATCCTGGCCGTGCGCGAGGAATTTCTCGACGATTCTCCGGTTGCCGGTCATGCAGGCCGCGTGAAAGTGCGTGCAGCCGTCGAGCTCGTCGATGTAATTCACATCGAATTCGTTGTATATGCCGAAGAGCTCGCCGATCCTCTGTCGGTGAACGGGCTCGAGGTGAAGCCTACCGACTCGGGCCAAGTAATGTATCGGCGTGACGCGACTCGGCGACGGCCTGACGCGACGCGTCGACGGATCGCCGTCTTCGGGAGTGTCGGGCCTGTCCCGGAAGCCGGCCGACTTCACGAACTGGATCACATTTTTCGCCTTGTCGCCAACGTAATTGAAATAACTTACAAATTCCTCGAGCAGCGTGTCGATTTCTTCTTTTTGAAACTCGTCTAGGAGCCTTGGATGTGGGCCCGGCCAATTGACGATCAATGAATAAATTGGATCAAGATATGATGCTATTCCTTCGGACTCCACATCGACTCTTCGTCGCACGAGTCGTTTCAATACCGCGATCGGAGGGTCCTCGATTTGGGGATTTTCGGCCATCGTTCAGCACGCAGCTCTCGCTCGGACTACGACGGGTGAAATATTTTCTCAAAATTTTCGCTCGTCGCAAAAGTCACTTGCGGCGATCGAGCAACGATTTCTCTCGTTCTTGTTGACGCTTTCGCGGCCCTGACGTGTACTGATTTGTTATAGCGAACGCTGTGATCAATAGAATGTCAACATTGGCCCAAGGGGCTACCTATACAATAGAGGTTTATGCCTACAGTCAAACGTTCGCAAACTAAATACTTATTACGAATACTTATACGATGCGCGAACACGAGTTTTCGGTTCGATATACACGTGTAACGTAAGCGTGTTTTTTTTTTTTTTTTTACAAAACAATTGGAATATTGTCATGGAAGATTTGACAAACCTTTAATGTGTTTTTCTGTCCAACTTTATCGACTATATTACATACTTAATACGGAATCACAATCGTCCAGATCAGCGCAGGCCTGCTGTAACTGATTAAAATTTACGATCCACTTGCACCGAATATATTTATACGCATATACACATATCTCGGGCAATAAAAGGCGGACTTTAACCAGCTATAAGAGAAAGAGAGAGCATATATTTACAGACCTCGACCTCCGTCATCGCCGAGCGTTCCACCGCAGTAAACATGCGTGAAAATAAAAATGAAGATCTTGTAAAAAAAAAAAAACAAGGCGTTTCAGCCTCGAAATAAAATATCTCTCATTCTCGCGCGGATATAGAGAGAAGAAGCCTTCTTCTCTCTCTCTCTCTTTCGCATGCACACAAGCAGGCGAATCGATCGAATTTCATGCGTCGTTCTGGGCCGCTGATCCGAGAGGCCCAAGAGGATAGGAGCTTGAAAAATTAATTTCCAAACGTCGCTGGGCCCATATTTTGGTAGTTTCTGCGTGTGCGTTGTGTGCGTGTGTGTGAACTTGTTTTGGCGCGTCTCGCTCGCAGACATCGTAGTATCGGAGACGGATACGCGCGCTCGCTTTTGAATGAAACTCGATTCGAAACTTTTACGAGATTAAGGTATGCTCTCCTCGGCTTCTCTCGCTCTCTGTTGATGCTTTTTTTTCGTATAAATTCATAGAGATACCAGCGCAACGCTTGAGATATATATATCCATGTTCTCTCGCTCGTTCGCTCGTACAAAAAGGCATTTCCTCGATCGAGTTCAGGTAAATTCCTTCGACATTCTTTATATATGTACATAAAATAATATAATAAAATAAAGCGTGCCTAGTGCACCGAATACATAGCTATATTATATAGACCAGCTACGAACGAGTCAAGGTTCTTCTAGAAATTCGCTCCCAAAAACTTTGCTCGGCAGTCTTCGAGCCGCGCGTTATCTTTTCCTCGGTGCTATCCTGTCTTCCCCCCTCCTGCGCAACACATTACCATAACCCAAAATCCAGGGGACTTTATAGTCATCCAAGAAAAGGGTAGAGTAAAAGAGAGAGAGAGAGAGAGAGAAAGAGCCTTTCCGGCTTTATCGTATACGTCCCGACGACTATATGTACTATAACCGGCAAGTACCGCCATCGCGTCTCTATGTATATAGCACTACTATAACTAGTCGAGCTCTCGAACGAAAATTCGCTCCTCCGCACACTCTTTTCTCTCTCTCTTTCTCTCTCTCTCTCCTAATCCTTGAACTCTTTCATATCAGCTCCTATATAGGATTGCGCGCTCTCTTTCCTATTCCTCCTTCCTCCTTCTGCGCTTTTTTTTTTGCTCGAGCATTTATCTGGCCTGATGCTACCTACGCCAGGTTTTTCCAATAGCCCTTTTGCAAGGCAGCGTTGAAAAACGAAATTCGTGCGCGCAGCTCGCGCGGCTGCTCGTAATCACGTGAAAAACGAATTTCGCTCGTTCGCGTGTTACTATACGTACACGACGACGCGCGTGTCCTACTTTTGGTAAAGCAAATCTTTTCAGATTTCTAATGCTCCGATAATTGCCAAAAATGTTTTTCGGCTAATACAGTCAAGGATATTAGAAGAGCAATTTTGGAAAATCTATGAAAATCGCTTTTCTAAAATAATAACAGACTCTCGTTCGGTCGGTAAAGTTAAATCGTAGTCGTTCACCGTAAAGACCGAAAGCTAAATATCCACGTTGCGGTTCATCTTCCGTTTTATATATACGATGATATACGAGCATCTAATGATTTAAATCCTCGTATCTAACAAACGCAGGTGTATTATTATTATTATCATCTGCATAACTGCCCAGCACTGGTCAACTCTAACTTTTCTCTAAGCAGCTTATGTCGTCGTCGTCGTCGTCGTTGCCATCGCTGCTGGGCAGCATTATGGAAATAATCGCGCACCCGTGTCGATCGCACACACACACGCATACTCAAACTTAATTACGAGCGAGCTTAAACTGAAAATTGATCTCTGCACAAACTCGATTTAAATCACTTATCGTCGTGTTTTCGCGGGCAGATGAAATTAAAAATTTTTCGTTCGACGAAGGCGCTGGACTCGGATGCGGTAGTAACGAGGTAAACACCGCAGTTGAGCTCCAAAAATTAAAAAAAAAAAAAAAAAACAGGAAGAAAATTCAGAGTGGAAAAACTATACTGAAGCACTTCATCGTTTCATAATTGCCGGATGAGGAACCGAGATAAACATCGTCTAACAAATTATTATTTTTAAAGGAGAGAGAAATAAAATCGACGCAGTTTTTACGCTGCGTGTACGTAAGCGTATAAAGCTCGTTACTACACGTTCCGCTACGAGTTGTCTCGCTTGTCGCACATCGGGCTATCCGGTCAAGCCGATTTTGCACTCTCCACACGCGTCTCTCTTCGACTACGACGACGATGACGACGAACTATGACCTCGTCAGTCCCGGACTATATACGGGAAATACTTCGTTGCAGACTGGTATACGGCAGCTGGAGTGAGAGAGAGAGAGAGAGAGAGAGAGAGAGAGAGAGAGAGAGAGAGAGAGAAATTCCTCGAGGGATTTCTTGCGACGAAACGACGCGCAGTGATACACACACACGGCGAGTAAAGAGGGAGAGAGAGAGTAAGAGAGGCAAGTTTGGGTTTACGTAACGCCACCCCTGAAAGTCCTATGTATAAACGAGAGCGTGTATATATAGAGTAGGGACACGCGTATAGTAGCCTCGCTTGTATTTCATTATCGGACGTCGATCTGAGTAATTGGACGGTTATACGCGCGCCAGAGCGAGTGACGACGACGACGACGACTATTTGCTTTGTCTTGGCCCTGCCTGCCTGCGTGAGTGCGGGTGTATGTATATAGTATATGGAGTCTCTCTCCTACTCGACTCGGAGCATCAGTCCAGTCACGCGCATTATATACCGCTTGTTTTTTTGCGGATCTTTTCTCTCTCCATCCTCGTTCGTTGCAGGACGACGACGTCTCCCTCGGGATCTTTTCGCGCTTGTGTATGCGAGGCTGCGAGCTTTCTTGCATTATATATACGCTGTCGACGATCGATGATTTTCCGATTGATTAAGTGCCTAAAAACTATAGATATTTACACGGGTGCTTCGAATCGTCTATTCGATTCGGTCGTACTTTGTTATTATGTTCGTTGAATGTAATACAGAGAATAAAACGTGTGACAGTTTAATTGATCCTCGTAAGTCATAACCATGGAGGAATTGCGGACCTTGAGATTGAAATTTGAAAAACTTCGCCGCAAATTGTGTATTATACGACTGATTAATTAAATTCCAAAGTCTCGTGAGAATGTATGTATATAATCTGTAAGATGGGAACTGCTGGCCCGTGCGGTTTCTCAATAGTCATAAAAATGATCTTTAAGATCGTTTTAATGGTCTTTTTTCACTGGCGGATCTTCTCCGGGTCGTTTCCTAAATTTATCCCCTCGTGCGGCTGTAACGTTGAATTTACGAAAAGAGGCACGATAAACCAGAAGTGACAAATCAGTCCACTCGATATTGTATCTCATTCGTCTAGCGAACGCAAAAAAAGATAAATTTTGTTTTGAATAAAATTTGTCATCCAGCTGTGTCTCGAAAAATTAATAGAGCGTTTCATTACGGCCCATATTTTTCCCAAAAATAGAATTTTTCGCTTCCAAATGTATGCGAGTAGGCGACGACAAGATTTGAAAACTCTGCCACTTTTCAATACCACGCGGATGTATACGTCTACGCGTCATTCACGCACTCGCGTGTGAAAAAATCGATCATCCTTGACAAGCTCGAGTACTCGCCCGATTTCATTACGAAAAAAATGACAGTCTCGCGTCGTCTGGCAAGTGACGATGAACGAATAACTTATGCGATACAAATGACATATCATATTGTATATCCGTTTTGAAAATCAGGTAAGTTTTTGGATTCCCGATTGCGGGGGACAAATAATGATGGATCGCGAATGTCGCGCGTATCGGCCGTTACATCACGTTGCCGATCGTGGCTCGTGTTTAGCATAAAAAGCAATTAAATTATCCGTGTCATACGTAGGCTTTATGGATGAAAAAAAAAATTATGTTTACCTGCCATAAATTACCGATCGATTTACATAGAATGCTCGAAACTCGTGTCGCGCGCGCAGCGTATTCGGTAGACACGGGAGAAATTCTATAATGAGCTCATCAATCCGATTGAAAATGTTTCGCGGGCCCGTTCGGTATGTGCCTGCGTATGAGTATGCGATCGTTTTTCACGGAACGCCACGTTTTTGGTGTGGTGAGATTTTTGACAATTTCATCAAGACTCGTGTATATCGCGAGCAATAAAAACGGAACACGGCAGCAGATGAGAAAAAAAATTATACATCCACTCGATGGGGCGATGAGTATATCCGCAATAAAATTCCGATTCCTTTTCACTCGTCGCGCATAACATGTAAAAATTTTTTAAAGATCCTGAAAGATGTGTTACACTTTATCGGATGTTTTTAGTTATTACTTGATAATAAGTATAACAATGAGTACATTGAAACCAGCTGTGTGTGCATTATTTCGTCAAATTACGTAGCACAAGCGTCAAGTAGGCAGGTTTTTACAGATAAAGCATTTAATGATTTTATTTACATAAAATGATACTTTCGGAAACGGACGAAGAAATACAATAGCTTACACGTTCGATACAACGCTCAATCTATATAAATCTGTCATTGGGCAAAAAAAAATGTAAAACTTATTTATAGAGATTGGCGAATCTCGATATGTCTGCGCGCACACACGCACGCTATATATAA